TCATGAACCTGTTGAATGACTCGGTTCCTCAAGGAAGGAGGTACAAAGGTCCCGTTGGGTGGACATTCAGCAGGTATAGCATCTGTGCCCTGCGTCTCCGCAATCTCGGACATGACATCCCACTGCACAAGTGCTACAATGAGAGTGGTAGGCAAGATGGGATCTGGTGAAATGGGTTGGTAAGCTGACTCAAATTGACGAGAGAGTGCATCTGCTTTGGTGTTTTTGGAACCTGGACGATAAGTTACTTTGAACTGAAACCGAGTGAAGAAAAGAGCCCACCTGGCCTGTCTGTGATTGATTTTTTTTTGCACTGCGGAGATATTCCAGATTGCAATGGTCAGTGAGAACTGAAAAGGGACATTTGGACCCCTCAAGCCAGTGTCACCACTCCTCAAAAGCTGCCTTCATTGCCAATAGCTCACAGTTTCCCACATCATAGTTCTGTTCTGCTTGATTTAGCTTGCGTGAGAAGTAAGCACAGGGGAAAAGTTTGGGTGGACTGCCATGACGTTGCGAAAGGACTGCCCCTACACCTGTGCTGGAGGCATCTATCTCTACCACAAACTCACGTTCAGGATCAGGGTGATGCAATATGGGTGCAGTGGAGAAACGTTCTTTGAGGTGGTGAATAGCTTTGTCAGCTGCTGGTGACCAGGATAAGCGACCTCCCCTCCTCTTAATCATTGACGTTAGAGGGGCTGCGATGGAGCTGTAGTCTCTGATGAATCGTCTCTAAAAGTTAGCTAAGCCAAGGAATATTTGCATCTCTTTGCCAGTTCAAGACAGCTTGCACTTTATGGTCATCCATCGCCACTCCCTCAGGGCTGACTACATATCCCAGGAACGTGGTAGAAGTCTGATGAAACTCACATTTCTCAGCCTTAGCGTATAACTGATGGGAGATTAAACGTTGGAGAACAGCTCGGACATGGCTAATGTGTGTCTCAAGGGAGTCAGAGTAAACAAGAATGTCGTCGATGTAAATGATGACCCATCTACTGAGCATGTCACGGAATACATCATTTATGAATGTTTGAAAGACTGAGGGCCTGTTGACAAGCCCGAACGGCATAACCCGGTACTCATAGTGCCCAGACGTGGTAGAGAAAGCCGTAATTTTTAAATATAAAATCCAAATATTTTTATTCAACCAACTAGTTAGAATACATTTGATGGAAAAACAAATGATTTGATGTTCAGAACAGAATAACTACAGTAATTTCCCATTGCTCCCTGGGGGCATTTTACTCCACTGACTATGTTTGAGAAAAAAATGGTAATTCTGAAAATATAATTATATTTTTCTTAAATAACACGTACTCTCTATCTACAGGCCTTACTGTTCTCATATCATATATAACTGTGATGTTCTACAAAACAACAAGCTTTAAAACACTTTTTTTTCTTACTGCTGAAAATTAGATAATTTACTGAAAAATCAGTTTTCTCTCCGGTACATCACCAGTGCAAGCTTCATGGTGAAAACTTCTACATCACTCTTGTCAACGTAGTCCATAGTTACAATGACAATTTATCTTGATTTTATCTTGTGTATGGTGTACATTTTAGGACATCCTCAGACCTCAGTCATTAAATGAAAAGGCGACATGCCTCAGACTAAAAGGCTTCAGTCATTGGACAAAACGGCATCGCGCCTCAGACTGACAAGCTACAGGTCTCAGGAAAAACGACGTCAGGTGTCAGGCCTCATACACTTAGGCATCAGACGAAACAGACTCAGGTGGAGTGTCGCGTTGCCCAGCCCCATGTGACGTCACACGCACGCGGTTCAGAGGAAGTGGTATGGAACGCTTGATGGATGGCAAAAGGAGGTAAGCCGCATCTGATATATTATATTTTAAGTTTTATTTAAATGTTACACTAATTAAGTTATATACAGAAGAGAGCATGCATTTCGAGAGTCTTGTGTGCACGTTTAAAAAGTTAGTTAGCCATATTGCAACTATCAAGCTTTTATGTTGGCAAACTGTAGTAAAGTTACCCTTACGAAAAATAACCATGGTTTTACTACAAAAAACCCCCCAAAAAACATGGTTGCTATAGTTAAATCATGGTATCCACAGATTAACCATGGTTTTGCTACACTACCCATAGTTTAACCATGGTATTTGTAGTAAAATTGTGGTTATACAAATGGTAATCATTACACACAAAAAAAACATGTTACTACACTTTTACTATAATAAAATCATGGTCAATTTACGTCAAGGTAAAGCGAATTCTTTCGAGCTATTAGATTGAAATCTTAGTCTAATTATAATATACCTTTATGAGTCTATCACAAGGAGTTGTTGAATTAAATGATTTTGTAAAAACAATGGTTCTGTCTTAAAACTAAATATATATGTGTTTGTTTCAGCCAATCAAGAATGGATACAGAGATAAGTATCCTGCATTTAATATGGCTTATATTATAAATGTATTGTTATATATGTTAGCTTGTAATACTATCATGTTCTGTTTGCTAAGCTACTGAATGAATGTTGAAACTTTCTACAGAATTTAAAAAAAAAAACTTAATGTTAATGTGCCTTAACTTATTTAGATGAAATGATAAAGTTGCTATTTGACAATGGCTTCAAACAAAGATAAATGTGCTCTTTTCTTGCCGCTTCTGGATACAAAATCAGGTAATCATTAAGCTTAGTTAAGTTGGTAACACTTACAATGAAGCCCATATTTATAACACATTATAAGGGTATTCTTAAGGCATTATAATGAATGCACAATGCATTATAAAAAACTTATTATATGTTGTTTCATCTCATAAATAATCATAACAACAATTATAATACATTATAAAACTTACTTATTTGTGGTTATAACTTTTATGAGTATGATTATGTATAACACGCAATAAACACCATGTTAAATCCATGTAATTTATAATGGATTATACGTCTTATATCTTGACATTATTTATTTAAGATCTGTACAGTATCTTACTATCTTATTGATATTACAATAAATATAGTTAAAATCAAATGTGCCATATTACACATTCATCTGATCAGATATCTGATCTTATGGCTTATTATCTATATTAACCCTATTTTTAAAAGATGTGGTCAAGCTTTTTTCCTCCCAAAATGTTTCTCTCTGTTATTTCTCTAGGAATGATGTGGCTCTAATAATGAGATAACTTGATGCCAGTGATCTTAGAAGATGTCCTGTGAAAAAAAGAATTGAACGTAGAAATTACTTCAGCTGTGGAACAAATTACACTTGGCATATTGATGGTAAATATTATTAAATATTAAGTGAATATTAATAAACAAATTAGTGTTACAGATGCTAAAGAACATCATAGATATCAAAAACAGAGTAAAGAGTAAAGCATTAACTAGATTTCTGACTGATGTTTTGATTAAATTAAATATATTTATTGTGATGCATATTTTATAATTTGTTGTAGGAAATGACAAATTTAAATTATTTGGAATCTGGGTACATCTTGGTATTGATGGGTATGCAACCTGTACATTTAATGAAGTTCATTGCTTTGTAATTTTACTCTCTGAAATGTAATCTAACTTATTTTATTTTTCTGTTAACATACTTGATATGGCCTTAATATAATTTTCTAGGAAAATTATTTGGCTTAAGGCTGGCACCTCTAACCGACAGCAAACCTTCATTGCAAGGTTTCATTGCAAACCTTCATTTGATGCCATTCAGGAACACAGTGGTACGTATATTTGATATCTTACAATGAACATGATAGGAGAGATCTTCTCATGTCGGTAGACAATAGTATTATTATAAAAAATATTGAGGTGAACTTTGTTTTTGTCTGTCTGTTGGAATGTATAGCACATGCTTATTGATGCTAAATTGAAGGAATTTTTGTAATAAGATTTACTTATCTAAAAAATGTGTGTTTTTAGGCCATGATGGAATCTGGCATGCTTGATTTGGACAATCCTGTACACATGTAAGTTAAAACTACTTGTCAGCCCTCATTTATCTGCTCTCATTAAATGAAAAAAAAATAACAATACATGCTAACCTACAGAAATTGCCTGCAATATACACACCTCCCCCTTCTTGAGAGAGAGAGAGCTGAACATAGAGCAAAGACTGTGGAACACTCACGATATTCGCAAGCAAAGGAATGTTCCAGGTCAATTTGGGAAACCATACCTTCTCTTTACTTCCCCACCCGAAGGTATCTGTTTCATCCAAATTAAACTGTTTCAGAAAAGCAGTAGCCAATGTGAAAAAGGAATTTGTATCTTCCTGCAGGCTTTGCTGATATGCTCTGCAAAGTAGACAACGACCTCCTGAAGTATGCAGAACAGCTTGTTTGTGGAGTAGATGAGCCTTTGTTGGTGGCAAATGAAGAATTCAGAAAAATATCAGAGGCTATTCTGCAAAATACAAACTTCCCATCATCACCAGACGGGTCTTTGGCGGCTTACCTCATGTTGGTGGATAAATTCACCACAGTCCTTCAAACAAGAGGCATTCCCATTCCATCCACATTTGCAGAGGCAAATGAAATATACCAGCTGCTGGCCAATGAGACAGGGACTTTTTAACTGCTTATCCAACTAAATAAATCCATATAAAGGGACCAAATTATTAAAAAAGTGCTACAAATGAAGATGCAAAACATGTTTAATGATGTGAACATACATTGAAACAAATAATAAAACATACCAGCAGTGTTAGACAGAGAGAGAACGGCTGTGATTATAATGTTAACATTTTACCAACATTGGTATTTGTACTAAAAACTGAAAATGACAAGAAATGTTACACTGTCCATGTGATAATCCGTAACATTTACCATTCATAACCATAACGGCTCTTTAAATCTGGCCCCTCCACTGTTTTTAGGGACAGCACCACAGAGGAAGCTTCAGGTCTTGATGCTGCATCATAGTGCAACATTGTACCAATAAACTGGTACTTGTCGCTCAGATGTTGTAAAGCTTGTGGTGGCACCTTTTTGGCCATTAGACTGCACAACTCTAGTTTTTCACTGTACATGGCACTGATTTCGTGAAAATCTCCAGGTATGTTGCTCCCAGAGACCAGATGTCAGAACTACTGGAAGCCTGTTCAAATTCAACTAGACACTCTGGGGCCATATAAAAAAAGGTTCCACCCATTGGCCCTATTCCTCCTCCAGTAAGTCTGCTTCCTTGTCGTAGTACAACCGTGTCTCTGATGTTGGCAAGGCCCCAGTCTGTCAGTACAGCCTTTTTTGAGAACTGGTCGATCTGTTTAAAGTATCAAATAGGTTTTAAATCATTAAATGTATATGTTTTTACATATACTTACTGATTAACTAGAAAAAAGTCTTACCAAAACATTGGCTGGCTTTAAATCTTGATGGATGACATTTTTTGAATGGATGTACTCAATGGCCATCGAGATGTCGAGGGCAACAAAATAACGGTCATCTCCTTCAAGCTAAAAAAATAAATAAATACAATACAAATTTGAATAACAGACTTATGAAAGAGTTTAAAAAATCGGTTTGCATGCTTTTTTTAAGTAAGCCCAACTAATTAGATTTTACAGTGTGGGCTCTCCTCATCAGGTCATCCCACAGGTTTTAAATGTTAAATTCAGAATGATGAAAAGGCATGCCATGACCTCTTTAAAAGTTGAAGACTAGGCCCACTTTGCACATATTTACAAAGGGTGACAACATTTCTGTACACTGTAAAATCTAATTAGTTGGGCTTACTTAAAAAAAGCATGCAAACCGATTGCCTTGAAAAAACTAAGTAAAGTGAAAGAGGAATAGTATGTTGTACTGACAAATGCTTAGTATAGTTTACTTACACGAGAGTTCTAGTAACTAAAAAAGAACTGTAGGGGGTACTTGATCCTTTCATTTAGGTTTACTCATGACTGTGTAGCTACTCACTGACTCCCAGAGTGCATTGCGGCATGAATAAATTATGCAGTTGCTTTGTTTTACAGTTGTTAATTTTATTTGCCAATTTTATTTGCTGTCTTGTGTCAGTAGTAGCACAACAAAAAGAGCAAATAAAATGGTTATTGTTACAATTAATGAAAATAAATGAAATTGAATTGTTACCATTGTTGTGATTCACGTGCTGAATGTTTAAGTCTGTGTATGACTTTAGCATATTACCACACACTACTTAAGGATTATATAAACCCAATTAAAAGCATCTCAAGGTATTTATGAAAAATCAAGTTC